AGAGAGAGAGAGAGAGAGAAGTGAACAGGGAGGTGAAATTGAATTCCATTCATGGTCTGTCATCTCCTGAGTTTCAGATAGATAGTGCGAGGAGAGAAAAAGTGTTTCTGCTACGAGTGTGAAATTGTAGTATTTGTTTAAAGGCGTTTGACACACTTGCTTTTTTGTCTCTATTTGGGTCTTTTCCCAAGTCAACAGATATAGGCTACTGTAAATTACTCTTGAGCAAAGAAACATGAAATGTAAGGCTGCCCCTTGTGTGTGGCTGCTTAAGCAGTTGTTTCAAGGGATTCATCAACCCTTTTGTCTATCATACTACATCAGAAGCCCCAAATTGTCTCCTGTTTTCAATATTTTCACACAGATGTATCCAATGTCTACCTTCAGTTTCCAAAATACTAGGGATTTCTGACCCTTTAGTTAACACCTTGAGCCTCCTGAAATCCTAAAAAAAAATAAGTCTCAGGGTCTGAGCTAATTATCTCAATGTAAATTTATTTGCATGTTAAAATGTTGAAAATGTACTAACAGCTAATGAACAGTGTATCTTGCTGGTGCCTCAGCTGCTGCATGGAAAATATAAATACAGGCTAGCTAGTATATTTATCCTCTGTGGTTCTGCTACTCCACTGCATATTTGAAAATCCTCATTGCTCTTGAAGTCCAGTAAACATACAGTAAACCATTCAGTATGCATAATAAAAATCTTCTTAACCATCTTCATATCCCTTTTTATGGCAAAGAGGATGGTCAATTGTGTGATGATGAATAGCTACTTGGATTAAGAGGCTAATATAGACATTTTGGAGGTGTATATAAATCTATAAATATATTACAAATCTACTTGGATTCACAAGTATAATTACATGGCCCCCCTCGTATTTCGCACACTGTTGAAGTGAATTCATATATTGTTTCCATGTGTTCTCAGTTCAGTCTGAGAAAAGTGTGTTTCTTCCACATATTATAATTCTACGGTAGCACGTCTGACACCTGCTTATTAGTGTCAAAGAACCATAAGACAAGGTCTCTGGATTATGTCCATCTGTAATAAACGTGATGAAGTAGGAGTGTTCATTCTCACTGGGATGAACTGCCAGGTTTTGTCTCTGGAGGCTCATGTAGTCGTAGTATGACTCACACAGACAGACACAATGAGACAGAGTGTCACGCTGACTCATGAATAGCTCATTCAGAAAATAAAAAGTAATCACATGTTGGTTGTAAAAGATGAAATCATCAGAATGGATTTCAAAGTTGCTGACATGTTCATTTTTGTTGTGTTTGTCTCCCAGCTAACAAACGCTGCCACCTGCATTGTCAGTCCAAGGAGACATGGGATGTGGTCTTCATGCAGAGAATGGCCCTGGACGGCACACGCTGCTCCTACAAGGACCCTCACAGTGTGTGTGTGCGTGGAGAGTGCGAGGTGAGTGACGTTATGTGTGTGTGAAAGCCAGACAGCTGCATGTGTTCCAGATCTACATGTGTTAAACTTTCCATGTCCTCATGAACAGAAAGTAGGCTGTGACGGCGTGGTCGGCTCCTCAAAGCAGGAAGACAAGTGTGGAGTGTGTGGAGGAGACAACTCCAGCTGCAAAACCTTCAAAGACACCATCACACGTACCGCCAAGAAACAAGGTAAACGCACACCAGCAGTCACAGTAACCCTTATCTATATCTAGGACAGACTTGACTTGGTTCCATTAATGCAGCAGCTGTCTATTATGCTGGTAAGTGCATTATAAATAGTTGGCAAGTGTCCTTTGCTTATAGTCTGTTCTCCTCCAATCTTAAATTATGTTCAGCTAAACATTGCCCTCTAGAGGAAGATTTGTAACAGTGTCCAAACCTCAGTGAGATCTGAGTTGACATGTTTCCACGTGAATCGAGCATTGCCAAGAAGTTACGTCAAACCTCGCTCTAGCTTATATTTATTATCTAACTCTTGACGTCGGGATAGACCTACATCACAGCGGCAAAATTCCCAGAATCAGATGTTTATTCTGGATGAAAATATTCACAACCTCAAAGGGTTTTAACTAGTGAGCAGGGATACATGGTTGCAATGAGTGTGAGCTCTTTAGTGGATTAGCTGAGGCTCTTAGTCAGGAAACTGTAAAATGAGCTTTTGATGATGTTCGAGTCACGAACCAGATGTGTGTTTCCTTTCAGGTTTCCTCAAAGTTCTTGAAATCCCCAGAGGAGCGAGACACTTACTGATCCAAGAACTGAAAGCAACCTCACACACTTTAGGTATTTGACATTGTTTTTTGTGTATATATGGTATTGTATGCTGTATAAGTATATTATAATAGGTATATTTCTTACTCATCTATAGCTGTAAAGAACGTGGCATCAGGACTCTTCTTCTTGAACGGGGAAAATGACTACCCAGAATCCCACTCGGTCATAGAGAAGGGTGTGGAATGGGAATATGAGAATGACAATGACAAGGAGACACTTCAGACCACTGGTCCTCTAAGACATGGAATTCTGATCATGGTACACATTTGAAATGAATAAAAATAGTATTGAATATGGTTATACACAAACATACCAAAATATCAAAATGAAAATGAAATGTCAGTTAAGTTTTCTCACTTATTTTATTATGATCTTTTTGTTTTTAGATGAAACTACATGGAGATGAGGATGTAAATTTGTCTTATAAGTACATGATGAACATGGACAGTGACTCTGCCATCCAGAACAACATGCTGGTAGAAGACAGTGCCTACGAGTGGGCTCCAAAGAGATGGTCCTACTGCTCCAAGCCCTGCGGTGGAGGTACAGTAGAGCAAGGAAAAGACTTGTTGTGAATCTGTTGGGTCTCTGAGATCAACTATGTGCATTTTCCATGTGTGTCTTTATGTTTCTGTGCTTACATTTTGTTACTTTTTTCATCCCCTCTCACTGTAGGGAAACAGTACCTGCGATACGGCTGCAGAAGGAAAGTTGACAGTAAGATGGTCCACAAGAGCTTCTGTAACAAATCCAACATGAAACCAAGAGGAGACACCAGAGACTGCAACCAGAAGCCCTGCCCGCCACCCATGTATGCATTATATTGAAGGCACCAACTGTAAAAAAAACAGCCAGCCCCCTTTTTCCTCCTTTTTCATTGTTTACGTCAACATTTTGACATTTTGAATGCCCTCAGAACTCCTGTTTCTCACTTTCCCGTGATGTTTTCCAGTTGGGTGACAGGGGAGTGGCAGAACTGCAGCAAACCATGTGGAAAGACAGGGATGCAAATCCGCTCGGTCAGCTGTGTCCAGCCGTCAGATGACAACACCACACGCTCCATCCACAATAAACACTGCAACGACAACCGGCCCGAGACTCGCAGACCCTGCAACAGACACTCATGCCCCACCCAGTGGAGAGTCGGACCGTGGTCACAGGTATGCAGGCTGAAAGGCAATCAGAACTCGAACAGAAAAATGGAAAATAATATTTGGCCTATTTGCAGGGAAATAAAAGCCCAACAGCTGGTATATTGGTAAGACATTCGGTGTTTTAAATAACACAAGACTTTCTCAGAACTGTATTCTTGGCAGGCTTGACAAGCATCTGAGAAAGAGATCATGTGATCATCACTGTTACTACTTACAGTAAACCAAAGATAATGATGAAAAAACATGTTCATGTACTCGCCTTGCCTTTGTGCTTCTTTACATTTTCTGAACTTGAGAAAATTGTATGTCCACATTTTCCAAGTGATTTGCTATAATATGTTTGCATCCATTTCCTTTATCTCCAGTGCTCAGTGACATGTGGGAATGGGACCCAGCAGAGGCAGGCTCTGTGCCACACCAGAGACAACACCATTGGCCTGTGTCTGGACAGTAAGCCTGACACCATCAGAGTCTGTCGCCTGGATCCATGCCCCAGTGAGTGTTAAGGAATCTCTAGATTGTTTTAGCAATATCACCATGTTTTCCAATTTTAGTGATCACTTGTAATAAACTGAAATCAGTACAGAAAAATGAGTTCCCTTACCACCTCAACTACTTCATTGGTCTGTCCTCTTTTCTCTGCAGAGGGCTCATCAGACCTCAACAAGAACGGCAACATCCTGATCCAGTGGCTGTCTCGCCCCAACCCCAACTTCCCGAAGATCTCCTCACGTAAAACCTCCCTCTATAGTTCCCAGCCTGGTCTCCACAGCGGCAGCCGCAGCTGCATGTCTGTCCTCTGCTGGGCCCTGCCCATCTCTGTCCTCCTGTCTCTGCAGGGCCGGCCCCGGCTGGCCCCCTGACCCGCCCTTCCCCCACGCCCCGTGCCTGTGCCCACGCCCGTGAGCGAGCGGCAAAGCTTTCGCTTCTCTTTTGGGGGGGGGGATGTTGCCTCTCTCTCTCTGTGTCTGAGATGGCTCTGACTGGGGGGGAGGTCTCTGGCTCCTGTGTGTGCTAGTTGGTTCTCTCTTGCTCTGTCTCTCTCTCTATCTCTCTCTCTCTCCTTTGTGGAGCATTGTGTTGTAACCGCTGGCCAGTCGAAAACTCAAAAGATCAACAAAAAATTTGATGTGAAAAGGATTCGAAGTGGCAAGGCGAACAGGTTTTCATTGGCACCTCCTGAGACGTGTCGAAGAGCCGTTCATGTGTGAGGGACCCCCCTCTGCATTTGGCGGCCATGTTTTGCGCGAGCTAGCTGCGTGTTGTCATGGGTTACCACTACAGAGATGCAGTTGCGCTTTTTTCTTTTTGTAGCGCACTGTCATTGTGGGGAGAAACAGGTGTGAAAATAAACAGAAAAGGTATATAAATATCTATATAGAAAAAAAGTTATAAAAAAAATATGAAAGCTTTATTGTGAATGTGATCTTGTCACAATGAGGACATCTTTGCTAAAGTGCTCATCCGACATCCTGGTTCCATTCGGGGATGAGAATGGCGTCTCATTCTACGTTCCATTCTCAGATTGACAGGAACTCAGCACAGGGACAGGAAGTGACATCAGTAAACCTTTTGATTTTTTTGGGGAGGGAACTGTGAGGTGAAAAATCTTGAAGTAAAGGATAATTAAAAAAAAAAAAAAAACAGGGTAGTCTGACCGCTTGAGGTTGCTTCCCATTTCACCTCATCATCAGCCATCCTCTCTTTGACTGTTATACTAAAGTTCAATAAATGCAGCTTATTTGTGCTTGCAGACTTTAAACAAATACATCTATAAATATATTTGTATTTATATATACCTATAAATCTAAATCTATATGAGTAACAATAATATTAATAATGTTTTACCATGAATAAGCTGTAGCTTATTTGCCTAAAACCTTTGGACTGCTATTGATCGCTTAGATCCTTGACTGTTATGTGTATTTTTTTATTGATTTTACATATACAGATAAATATTTAATAAAGGTAAAGTGTTTTGGGGGAAGGGGTTAGACCTATATTATGCAGGACTTGGTCAGTTAGTTGCCTCTCCATTCTCTCAGATGGATCAGTGGTTTACTGTCGCTTCTTGTTTTCTTTAAGGATAGGATCACGTTTTGTCATGCACATTTGCATCCATCACCTGTATGCATGTGTATATATGTGTGTGAGTGCATCTGTGTGTGTGTGTGTCTATGTGTATATATGCATGGATGCATGTGTGTCTTGTGTGGAAGCTGAGATGAGTGAGTTAGTAAATGAATATATGTCTGAGAGATATATTAGTCTTGTCAGCAAAAGTGCGTCTGTGTGGTTGTCTTTGCATGTGTGTGTGTGAGTGTGTG